TTATATTCGCAACTTTCGTTAATTATTCAACCTGTGTCGTACGTGTGTCGGTGGTGGAACACGTTAATTTGAAAGCTGAGAGTCTTCAGTTAGTTTTCAGAGTGTCTCGAGTCCTTAATCGCGATTCGCAGCGTTTAGTCGAATTTCTCAGTAGCAAGAACGTATCACGTGACATACGTTGCACGCTCGTGGAATTGCAAGGCTGTGAAAGAGAAAAGGAGAAAACTACGTACACAAGTATGCAACTTGTTTAATTTAAAGGGAGCAGTAGATCAGTAGTTCTGCGTGATGATTTCAGTCAGGTTCACTCACGCCCGACCGAGGAACTCGCTCGTAGGTAGAGGTTTCTAGTATTCAGGCTCACTAAATATAGCACGGCAGTCCATTACACGTAAATGCCAGACTCCCGGACTCGCCGAAACTGAACCGATGCTCGCGTCGCGTGGCCACCCATTTCTGAGAATAATTCGTTCTCGCGATCTCGGCGCGACGAAAGTTTGTTTCTGTTCCAGGAAGCCGAGAAAAGGAACGAGAAGGGAAGGCGTACTAATTTACGTATTTTCGAAATGTTTAGGTCACGGAGGGAGGTTCGAAAGAGCTCAGTGCCGTAGCATGCCGGCGAGCTGCAGCGGGTGGTGGGGCGTCTCTGAGAGAGCGCGTCGATCGGCATCGTCAGGGGTCTACTTGGGCGTCTGTGTGGCGAGTCAGAGGCCAGAGAAGCGTGCCTACGTGAATAGTGTAACAGGAAGAGGAGGCGTAGGAGGCGGAGGAGGAAGAGGAGGAAGAGAAGGAGGCGAAGGAGGAGGAGGAGGCGGAGGAAGCAAGCGAAAGCGAAGGAGAAGAAGGGGCAGAAGAAGAAGAAGAAGAGAAGAAAGTACGGCCGCGGCGGTGATCGAGGCAAGGAGAAGGGACCGATGAGCGCGGGGGGGGATGGGGGCTCGGGGTTGGGCCCCCCTGAGCTGCCGGGGGCCCAGCCGACTGCCGCGACCCCCCCCATCCTCGGGCAGCACCGGAACCCCACGACTGCCCAGGACGGACAGCCAGCTACCGCGCAATCACAGACGGGCCAGACTCTCGGGACCAGCACCGGTGGAGCGAAATCTGCCACCAAAAGGCCGGCTCGGAGGGGTGGCAAAGCGCCACCCGACAGACCGCTCAGGGCTCTCTTTTGTTTACCTCTTAAGAATCCCCTGCGCAAAATGTGCATCGACGTTGTCGAGTGGAAGTATCCTTTTTCTTCTTCTTTTTCACAAAGCCTTTTCTGCCGCGTTCCAGTTTCCCAGATCCGGATGCTGAACAAGAGAAACTGAGCAAACGAAACTGTCACACCCACGTTTGCACGTGTGGTCGACCTGTAATCAATTTTTTTTTTTTTTCTTTTTCTTTTTTCTTTTCTTCGTGGTAAATTCGATGATCATCGAAACGATCGTCGATTGTTTTTACGTTGACGAAGATGAGTCGCGTCGGTGTGCCACCTTGTCCCGATATTTTAGGTTAGGTTTTATTTTAGGTCGCTCTTGAAAGCGTGTCATCTGTATCGCTAGAACGATTACACTCGTCTAAAGTATATAGAGCATATGCAGCTGAAATTGAATTAAATTATAGAAAAGTGATACTAGTTTCTTTCTGAAGAAGCAATAATTTTCTAGTTCAACTTAATATTAATTAATATTAATTAACTAGGAAGAAAAGATATTTAAAGTGGGAGGACAAGTCTCTTTAAATTTAAATGAATTTAGTTCAACAAATTTAATACATACTTTTCTCGCGCGACGAGTATAATCGTCATTCGCAACTAAGAGGTTAAGCACGTAGAAATACACCACGACGTTTCACCTCGCTTTCATTCGTCGATTGTTCGGAACAAGCCATATAAGCCATAGTCTTGACTTTCAAAGTTTCGTCTTTGCTCGTTTGTTTCTGGCTAGTCTGTCACGAGGAACGTGCCGGAACTTGGACCGTGAACGTCAACCCTTATTGGCAAACTTATTGTAGGGTACACTGTTCGCTAGCCTAGCCGAAAATGAACCGCTTTTTCAATTCGTCACGTGAAACGTACAGACGAATTGCGATACAGCGCATTTCGAGAACAACATTTTACTCTGTTATTGGCGTAATTGATGAACGGGGAGAAGTTTCACACGTACAAAACACAGCGCAGCTTTGTGTTCGAAAGCTCTTAAGACGCTGGCAGGAAGGAGAGGAGAAAGTTTCCCCACAAAGCAGGCGACGTTATTTTTCATTTTCCTTAGCTAGACGTTCCAGACCTTTCGAGTGGCTTATTCTCATGACGATATTCGCGAACTGCGTCGCCCTGGCAGTCTATACACCATACCCGTACGGCGATTCTAATTTGACCAA